ACTATTCAAACGATTCACCATTCATTTCCTCGTGGTAATTTCCAGTTTTCTTAGACTCAAAGCACCACAGACCGTCAACAACAAATCCATCCTCACTGCCAATATGGCAGATAATGAGCCTTTTCCCTTTACCTGGAAATCGAAGTACTAACTGGTGTAGATTTATTTCAATAAGCGAACCTTTTTCAAATGTTTTCATCACATTCAGCGAAAAAACATTGAGACATGAGTATCAGATTGCTATAATTGGGATTATTTAGTCATATTGAAAGAAAGAATATTGAACGTCGTATGATTACTCAGCGCTTCACAATTTAATTTAAAGTTATAAACCTTTAAAAAATGAATGATCAGGAACCTGAAATACGCGCAAATATTAATATTAACAAATTATAACTTTATAAAGCTTAAAGTATGAATTAAAGTGATTAGAAATATTAGGAACGGTACACAATATAAAACTTAGTAACTTTTTTTAAGTTTATAATATTCGACATATTTTAAGATTATATTAAAAAATTATTGAAATATCGAAAACACATAAAAACATGGCTTAAAAAAGTTCTAACAAATGAAAATGACAATAAAACATCCACGCATTTTATCGAAAGTTATAAAAGTTTTGTTACTTGTAATATGTTTTATCTGCCCCCTGGAATTAATGTTTAGAACCTTGTTCCCAAGGTTTGAAAAACATCCGATTGTTGTCTATTACTCGTATTTACCTGCTGGATTTTTTAATCCGGTGGACAGTCCATCTAGAAAGGCCCTCCTGGATGAAGTTACAGAATCATCAAACCATACTTTACTTGTAGTGTGTCCTGCGTTTACCCACGTTTCATCAAGGTAATAAATCTTCCTGTTTTGATTTCTATATTTCCCAATTTTTGTTAAATAATCCCTCCTCCATAGCACAATTTCTTCTCTATCCAGTAGTAAACTATTACGACCCCGTTTTTTCCATTTGAAATTTAAATGCTTCAGTAACGCATGGAAAAATGAACTCTTTCATTTCTGAACTCAGGTGTCTTTTTTTAGAGCGTTTCCTAGGTGGACTACAGGAGTTTACAACTTCATCGGCAGTATCTGTACTACTGGGCATTTTGCGCAAGCAGTTGATAACAATAACAATCAATAACAAGGTATAACAATAACAACGACAAACTCAACAATTTAATAAGATAACAAACGAAAACGTCCAAAGAAATATCAAATTGCAATGATCCACACGACATACGTAACACGTCTGAACCTGAATGTGACTCTGCCTTGATACGACTGCTCTGCCGCTCGGCATAGGCATTTAATTGCGAATTGACCAATTAGGGCTCCTATTTTATGTCGAGACGGCGGCGTTGGCGTGAAAATCACCCGAACCTTTTGTTTACATCCGGTCTATCTCTTATCTGAATATACTGTAGAACTGTAACTGCGTTCAAATTAAAAGCAACTGTTAAGAAATATTCTTCTGCAACTGAAATTTTGCTGAAATCTAGGTTATTCAGTATTGCGACAAATTTAAGATTCGATGAAAATATTAACATAGATGACAATCGTAGTTGAAAAAGTTCACCGTTGGGACCGAACATCACGCGATAAAGAAAAAATTCAAACAGGCTGTCTCAAAAGTAAGGTTCCCACAGTTTTTCAGGCACTATGAACTCTGTATTTGAAAAAACGAATTTATTATTGGAAACGTTGACTTTTAAGCTATTTTTCTACATAGTTTTTCCCTATGACGATTTTGGATTGTCCATCTCAGCTTTTTCGGAAGCATCAGGAATTTCAAGCGTACTTCGCCGATCTTCGAGCGAGATTTGCTCAATCTTCGCCAAAACTTTCTCGGAGATCGACGGCCTCTCGCTTCGTTGTTCATCGTGGATGTCCATGCGGCCAGCAGAGACCTATTTTTAGCATTTGAGGACATGTTGACAGCTTATACACGTTTCCCGTACACTTCACTCAACTGGCGATGACTTCCTATGGGTGGTAACGCTTTTGCGTGCAAAAATCGGCACGTGGCGGAGACGTCGATGAAGTGCCCCATTGCGCATGGCTGTCCTGCGGGTACTGAGCGTCGCCAATAGGCGAGTCTTGTTGGGATCGGTGGTGGGGGAGCCGACAAACGCGACGGCCAGATTTCGCTTAACATCACGAGCGGCAAAGTTACAGCGTTGCGAACCCTACTTACAACCCTTGTATATATACGAACATTTTTGTATGTATTAGGACTATACAGGGTGTCCGCAAAGTTGGGGTTTTTCTTTTCAGAAACAACTACCCTTGAAATAACAAAGGTAATGTGTGGTGAAACGAGGGCGACCAAGTAAAAAAAAAAATAAAGGAGAAAGTACTCATTCTCCAGTTGACGAGAAGGGCTAAGTACGTCTCTGCCCGAAATCATACCGCTCCGATAGAAAATGAAATCAACTGAAGCGCTACCGAGCAAACGCAGAAATCACATTGATTGTCTTACACTTAATGGCAAACCTTCTAACAAGGAAGGCAAAATGTTGCGTAAAAAGTCTAGGTATTACATCCCGTCCAATCGATTTGGGAGAATAAATGGTCCAATGAGCATACCGTTCACCATGCCAGCCCAAACATTCACCGAAAATGTTTGTTGAAAATGTGCTCGACGGACAGCGTGCGGATTTTCTACTGACCAAACATGAGTGTTGCGAAAGTTATTCACCCCATTACGCGTGAACGTAGATTCGTCTGTCACCAATATGCACTTCAAAAAGTCCGGATTATTGTCATGTTGATGCTACAACCACTCACAAAACCGCACTCTTGCTGAAAACTCGTCAGGTTGAAGGGCTTGTACACGTTGGACGTGAAACGGATACGCAGCGTTTGCCACACTTTAGTTTTTGATACTTGCACTTCTCTAGCCACGTCTCTAGTGCTTGTTGAGGGATTCTCGTCTACGCGATTACCTCTACACGCGTGACCGTAACCGTCGGTTGAAGGTTGCATACTGACCTGACACACTGACCCCGGCCCAGTTCTGTCATCGGGTTGAGCCAGTGACCTTGGACCACTTGGCGATGTCGCGGCTACAGGACGGTATTCAGATATTTTTGATGTTGCAGAGCCCTTTATCTCGGTTCCCTTAAGATATTGGTGTATATGGTACTAAGAAAAATTGCTTATGTTTTCAAGATCTACACGTCGTGTAAAGGAAAACCCTAACTTTGCGGACACCCTGTATAGCAACATTTTTTATTTTTCTTCTATTTTCTGTCTCCTTTGTGTCGTACACACATAAGGAAATGCTTCAAGGTTGACTATTTGCAAACGACGGTGACTATTTGCTTCCAAAAAAGTTTATACTTCACATTGATGCCCTTTACAGCACTTTTAATCTGATTCATAATGATGAAGCGTTTTGCATTCATGGTGGCAAATCGATCTGTGTGGATGATATAAGGATAATAACATAATATAACAGACTTTCACGGAAGTATCTAGTTCTGTTGCACCGTCAACATTTGTCAACAATTATTTTTTTTGTTTGGAGTCAATGGATCTACTTACTGAGAAACTAAGGGCATTTGTGCACGAATACGCTCCTTCATTTGCAGGAACTACGAGGGCGGTTCAATGAGTACCCGTGTTTCGCGACAGAGGGCGTTCCTGAGGGAAGTTAATGTTATCATCGTGTGCTGCCATCTATCAAACGACGGCACAACAAATTTCAGTCTGATTGATAGGTTAGTTTGGATTTGACAGCCATTCGAATAACACGTGTTTCGTGATTTTCGCTAAGATGGAAAAAGAACAGTATCGTTCGGTAATTCGCTTTTTGGATGGGAAAAAATGCGAGGAGATAAAAGCAGAAGCTTATGGGGACTCTTCGCCATCTATGACAACAGTTAGATATTGGTTCAACGAATTTAAACGTGGACGAACCTCCGTTTTAGATGAGGATCGACCAGGACGCACGGCAGACGTGGTTACCGAGGAAATCATTCAAAAAGTCCACATGATTCTCGCTGATCGACGAACGAAAGTGAGCAAAGTAACAGAGGCCATAGGTGTGTCGACAGGAACGGCAATTAATATTTTGCATGATAAGTTGGCTATGAAAAAATTGTCTGCCCGATGGGTGCCGCCAGAAACTAAGCAACAATCAAAACAATGGATTTCTCCCGGTGAATCTGCTCCAAAGAAGGCGAAGACGACGGTCCCATCGGCCGGAAAAGTCATGGGGACGATTTTTTGGGATGCGAACGGCGTCATCCTCGTGGATTTTTTAGAAAAGGGAAGAACGATCACTGGACAATACTATAGTGAGTTACTGGACCGCTTCGACAAAAAATTGAAGGAAACACGGCCACATTTGACGAGAAAGAAGGTGCTCTTTCACCACGATAACGCACCAGCACATTCATCCGGAGTTGTCGCCGCCAAACTGCATGAAATGCCTTATGAAGTGCTGCCGTATTTACCCGATCTGTCCCCTGCGACATTTTCGTGTACCCTGACATGAAGAAACGAGGAAGTCATCGCCGAGACAGAGGCGTATTTTGAAGAGTTCGACAAATCCTATTTTTTTTGGGGGGGGGGTTAAGAAAATGGCAGGAACTTTGGAAAAAGTGTATCTTTCGTACTTGCAAAATCTGGATGGTCTGCTTAAAGCTATGAAACCACTTTTTACCGTCCAAACCCCTGACCATATACAAAGCTCACTGTCAGACGAAAGCTGCCTTGTAATACTGCTATAACATCTGGTGATATGATAACCACTCTACATTGTAGATTGTCTATACGTGATGTTGTTGAGAAGATGACAGTCTGACTAACTGGTGACACTTTCTCAACGCACGATTTCAAGCAGCCTATCGACGAATGATCTTACCGTTCATTAGCTACTTGTAGATTTGGGTGATTAGATGATGATTTGGTTACTATTCTATTGATCTTTCCCTCGCCATAACAGCCTTTTTTAAAGTACTAAGTAAGACACGTAGAACAAATATCTGTCTTTTTCCAGCAATGAGTTCGGCACCTCGCCTCTCCAACCCAATGAAATAGTCTTCGCCCCTCTAGAAGGATGAGCGCGCAGGCGGGCGGCGACATCCCCACCATCTTCAACCCAGGGGGCGGTCGCCAACGCGCGCCCAGTGTCGTCGTGACGGAAGAGGGGGGAGTGGGCGTGGCTAATGGACCGTTCGGCCACGCCGACTCGATCGGCAGCCAGCCGGAGTCCAGCGGAGGCGGAGCGACTGCTACTGGGGGCGGAGATGGGGTCGTGACGACGTCCCCGGCTACACCCGCCTCTGGAGGGTTGGCCGGGAAGATGAAGTCGTGTTCTACGTCCGTATGCTCGAGGTCGGCAAGAAAGGTAAGGTGCGATATACATTTTTTGTACACAGAAGCAGTCGCGCAGGCAACTAGGAAAGTTTCCTCTTGTAGATGTACAATTTCGATGCCCTCGGGACAAAGGGGCAGTCGAATCGGCCAGTTCTGGATGTATGAAGTTATAGGCTAATTTTTGTACTATGTAACCTGACACGGACGTTATGTTTTGTTCGGCACAGGCCTAATAATAAATAATGTAAATATAAAAAATATCTATGCCCGATTTTACAATTGCAGATTATACATGTATTTTAAATTGGGCATCTATAACTGCCTGTAAATTCGTTATAAAAGTTCTCGTTAACTAACTCATAATTGTTAACGCGACAATGCTGTTTCTACGCCTGAAGTATCGTGTTCTGTGTGCTTCATGATATTCGGTATTTGTATCTCGTGTCATAAGTGACAGCTCACGTCACTGTCAAGCAAAATAGGTTATAGTTAACCCATAAATCGACTTCTGGTTAAAGTTATAATCCTTTTAGCAGTTTTCTGGTTTATGTACGATCCAGTTTTTAATTTAATAGCTTGGCTAGAGCAGCGCTGGCGAAATATTCATGCTGTCGCTAATAACCTTTCACGTGTTTGGAATGTTGAGATTTGAATAAATCTGATTAGCGTTGTACAAAATCACAGCAACCGCTGCAAAAATATGGTCGCACGCACGCGTCGCCCGAGAAATCACGCAATTTTCCATTTGCTATTCATATTTATGAGTCATTAATGTGGTGAAGTATTGAACTTTCTCGAAGTTGCGTTTTGCTAGAGAACTAAGATGGAGTGCGATGATTATTAGTCTGTATTTCTTATATGTCATACACTAAAAGAATAATGACATAAAGTGCATTGTGACTATCTTCCTACAACATAAAAATTTGGAAAATGAGTAATTTAAACTATACTAAGTGACATATAAATCCGAACACCCAGTTTAAATGGTTTTATTTTAATAAAATTTTGTATAAGTACTTAATGAAGCATAATAAGTAAATGATAAAAATTTCAAAATGATTGCACTGCTTTAAAGCCCTTTGACCTTTAATAATGTGTGGATGCACCCTGATGTGCTACGCATTCTCCAAAGCGCCTAGACATGCGTCTGATCAGGTGGTCAATGTCCTCCTGTGGTATCTCAATCCAGGCACCCACCAACTCCTCTCGAAGTGCTTCTAGAGTCTGAGGAGGACGTTGCAAATTGAGCAATCTCCTACCCATCATATGCCACACGTGCTCAATTGGGGATAAGTCGGGAGATCTTGGTGGCCATGGTAACAATGTGACATCATTATGTTGAAAGAAGTCTATTGTGACTCTTGCAACATGTGGTCGGGCATTGTCTTGTTGGAAAGTTGGATCTGCCAGGGTGTCAAGATAAGGTAAAAGATGGGGTTCTAGAACTTCGTGGATATAACGCTGCGCGTTCATGTTACCTCTGATGAAGATTAAAGGTGACCTGGAATCATAAGCTATAGCACCCCAAACCATAACTCCAACAGTGTGATGAACATGTCTTTCAACAAAATAACTGTGGATTCCTCCTTTCACCACGTCGCCTTCTCACCCTGGCACGACCATCGTGCATGCCTAAACAAAATCGAGACTCGTCACTAAAGACAATACTGTTCCATTCCTGATCCCAGAGTGACCGTTGTCTGCACCACTCAAGGCGATTACGTCGGTGTTCTCGAGTTAAAGGGAGGACCCAGTGTGGCCGGTATGAAAACAAGCCAAAACTTCTCATTCGTCGGTAAACACTAAGCATGCCAATAGGTCTTCCGTGCAATGGACCTGGTAGTGGAGAAACGGTCCCTTAAGGCCAATAATCTTAGGCGGCGATCTTCACGGTCTGTTGTTCTACGGCGGCGTCCAGTGCCCCTTGCTTTTTACGTACGGCCTTCTCGAAGCCATGCCTGACAACACCTTACCACAGTGTCTACACCACAAGTCCCACAACACGGCCCCTATCAAACTTACTAAGTTGACGAAATCGTACAGGTCTCCGTACTCTAGGCATCGTAACCGATCGTAAAGGATGTCAAGAACCAAAATCCGCCAACGTTGATTCTTTACTGCGGCTGAAATATTCATTTTTAGAGCGTTAGTGAATTAAAAAAAAAGCAGTATAAAAACCGGAATGTCCAACTGGTAAGGCTGAAAATTTTTTCACTTGTTATTTACAGTAAGATAAATACATTCACCAACTTTTATTAAAATAAAACCATTTAAACTGGGTGTTCGGATTTATATGTCACTTAGTATACAATAAGAACCTTTGCGAATGAAAATAATAACGATTTAATCGATTTTATTCACGTTAACATCCATTCCCAAATACGATGTCCATGCGATATTTCGTGGTGTAGGAAGTTGGAATTGATCGATATCCGGCACCCACGAAGGGTTAACAGCCTTGCATATTTCATCGTCTACCCGCAATTATTCTACGTGATTCCTTTCACTTAACCCACCATGACATGCACTGAAAGAAAACTTTTACCTTTACATTTAAAGTTGAGCAGGAACTCATCACGGTTGCTGGAAAGGTATGATTGCAGTTGGAAAGAAAGTTGGTTTTCTACTTAGACCAGGTGCCCTAGCACTATCAATGCAACCTTGTTGCTCGTTTTTTTATACAGGGTGGCCAATATATAACTGACTGATTTAGGTGAAGTTAAAGACTTGCCAAGGTCGGGCCGTGTTCGAAATGTTCGACCCGAAGAAGTTCTGGTCATACATTCGGAATAAGAGAGACTAGCAGATTACCAGGCCAAGTCCAGTTCAAGGGCAACGTATTTAATACTCCACAAGGTGTTATTGACTATTTTAAGAGTGTGTATGTTACTCCTCGAAATATTCCCTCTTCTTTAGATAGCGTTACTTCAACACCATGTATTTATCTAGAGGAATTAACGGAACCCGATGTACTGAAGTCTCTCTCTAGGCTTCAAAATAGAGTAGAGATCAAATACCTAGTTTTATTATTAAAGATTGTGCTCATGCTGTCGTCAAGCAGATAATTTTAAATGCTATATTAAAAAGTGGAATTTTTCCTGATATTTGGAAGATAGTAAAGGTGTGTCCGGTCCTGAAAGATGGTGATAAATCTGATGTACTCAACTATAGAGCGATCAGCATTTTGAGCAACTTTGCAAAGGCTTTTGAAATGGCCATTTAGAATAGAATAGAATAGAATAGAATAGAATACAATAGAATAGAATAGAATAGAATAGAATAGAACAGAAGAGAACAGAAGAGAACAGAAGAAAACAGAAGAGAACAGAAGAGGACAGAAAAGAACAGAGGAGAACAGAAGAGAACAGAAGAGAACAGAAGAGAACAGAAGAGAACAGAAGAGAACAGAAGAGAACAGAAGAGAACAGAAGAGAACAGAAGAGAACAGAAGAGAACAGAAGAGAACAGAAGAGAACAGAAGAGAACAGAAGAGAACAGAAGAGAACAGAAGAGAACAGAAGAGAACAGAACAGAACAGAATTAGAACAGAATTAGAACAGAACAGAACAGAACATAATAAAATAAAATAAAATAAAATAAAATAAAATAAAATAAAATAAAATAAAATAAAATAAAATAAAATAAAATAAAATAAAATAAAATAAAATAAAATAAAATAAAATAAAATAAAATAAAATAAAATAAAATAAAATAAAATAAAATAAAATAAAATAAAATAAAATAAAATAAAATAAAATAAAATGAAATAAAATAAAATTAAGTAAAATAAAATAAAATAAAATAAAATAAAATAAAATAAAATAAAATAAAATAAAATTAAGTAAAATTAAATAAAATAAAATAAAATAAAATAAAATAAAATAAAATAAAATGAAATAAAATAAAATAAAATAAAATAAAATAAAATAAAATAAAACAAAATAAAATAAAATAAAATAAAATAAAATTAAATAGGCGATCGCTACCGTGATATGGTCGAAAACTTTTTGGCTCCTCAAATCCAACAATTCAACCTGCAAAACATGTGGTTGCGGCAGGACGGAGCAACTTGTTTTGCGAACAATATTTCCGGGACGTTTAATTTCTCGATTTCGTGATGTCGTAGAGATCCGTCGGATGGTATCTCCGCGTTCGTCACTCGGAGTCCGATATATTTCATTCAACAAACACTCGCGAAGCTCGAGACCATGCGACAATGCATGACGCTTTCCAGGCGTTATGTCACAAGCGAGTTTTCAGAACACCAGCTTGGAAAAAAGTAGTTCTAATTATCAGCGACCGCCTTAGATCGGACGGTGAAAAATCGTGTTACTTGAGATAATCGAATTTTCCTGGAGCAATTGAGGATAGCACGTAAAGCACTTATTAGCGTGTTCGGATTTGCCACATACAGCACGAATACACAGCAGCATGTTACACTGGAAAGCCATATCAGAGCATCATCGTCTATCAGTTGCTTTATCAGCAGCAGTCAATTACCACTAGATTTATATGCGCATTCTCGCACCCTGCCGGAAGAATCAAAAGCTTAAAGTAGAACCTTGACCTTCGGCAATCTGGTAATGTGAACCAGAACCAGAAGTGAGTAGGTGCTTTTTTTTCCTGAAAAATGACATTAGCAATTGCGGATACGGTGCCTGAGAAAAATTCACATTCGCTTATGACAGCGACTTCCTCGCTGTCGAGGTTATCACTGCTTGGAGACACAATAGTTTAATGCTTCCAAAATAAAATGCCTTGACGAACAAAAAGCGATGGATGGCCGAGTTCAGCTGGTCGGAGTCCAGATCAGCGAGGACTGACGTAGCAGCCGCTGCTGGAAAAATCTAGGCTATGTGCTTAGGAAAACGATTTATCAGACTACATCACTGAAAGCGAAGTATTTTTGAATGCGGATGATACTACTGCAGTTGTTTCTGCTGCGTCTTAAACAGAATTGCGGCTGAAGGTGAATACAGTGCTCCGAGAGATGCTAACTGGTGTAATCTGAATAATCTAATGACTAATCACGATAAAACTGTAGCTATCAATATAAGATCTGTAAGGAAGAGTCCTGTAATGTTAACTTTCTCTGTCTACAAATTCCGGGCTTACTGGTGAATTACCACCTAAGCTGAGGAACCCATATCCACAGGACTTGCAAAAAGTTAAATACAGGTGCTTTCGTAATAAATAGTGTAAAAATTTGCGCATGTTATGAAACCTTAATTAGTGTCTACTATGCGTTTATATACTCGGCCCTTTTATATAATAACGTTGTTTGGGGACAGGCCTCATCTATCGACAGAGCCTTCATCACGCAAAAGTAATTAGAAACAGGTTCAATTTATCGTTCAGAACGTCCTGCTCATTTTTGTCAAATAGATCAATTAATAATGAATGGATATATACTAAGTGACATATAAATCCGAACACCCAGTTTAAATGGTTTTATTTTAATAAAAGTTGGTGAATGTATTTATCTTACTGTAAATAACAAGTGAAAAAATGTTCAGTCTTATCAGTTGGACATTCCGGTTTTATACTGCTTTTTTTAAATTCACTAACGCTCTAAAAATGAATATTTCAGCCGCAGTAAAGAATCAACGTTGGCGGATTTTGGTTCTTGACATCCTTTACGATAGGTTACGATGCCTAGAGTACGGAGACCTGTACGATTTCGTCAACTTAGTGAGTTTGATAGGGGCCGTATAGTGGGACTTCGGGAAGCTGGACTTTCTTTTCGGGCAATTGCAGTTAGAGTGCAAAGAAGTGTAGACACTGTGGTTAGGTGTTGTCAGGCATGGCTTCGAGAAGGCCGTACGCAAAGAGCAAGGGGCACTGGATGCCGCCGTAGAACAACAGACCGTGAAGATCGCCGCCTAAGATTATTGGCCTTAAGGGACCGTTTCTCCACTACCAGGTCCATTGCAAATGAATGGTTTGCAGAATACGGAAGACCTATTGGCATGCGAAGTGTTTACCGACGAATGAAAAGTGTTGGCTTGTTTTCACTGGGTCCTCCCTTTAACTCGAGAACACCGACGTAATCTCCTTGAGTGGTGCAGACAACGGTCACTCTGGGATCAGGAATGGAACAGTATTGTCTTTAGTGATGAGCCTCGATTTTGTTTAGGCATGCACGATGGTCGTGCCAGGGTTAGAAGGCGACGTGGTGAAAGGAGGAATCCACAGTTTTTTGTTGAAAGACATGTTCATCACACTGTTGGAGTTATGGTTTGGGGTGCTATAGCTTATGGTTCCAGGTCACCTTTAATCTTCATCAGAGGTAACATGAACGCGCAGCGTTATATCCACGAAGTTTTAGAACTCCATCTTTTACCCTATCTTGACACCCTGGCAGATCCAACTTCCCAACAAGATAATGCCCGACCACATGTTGCAAGAGTTACAATAGACTTCTTTCAACATAATGATGTCACATTGTTACCATGGCCACCAAGATCTCCCGACTTATCCCCAATTGAGTACGTATGGGATATGATGGGTAGGAGATTGCTCAATTTGCAACGTCCTCCTCAGACTCTAGAAGCACTTCGAGAGGAGTTGGTGGTTGCCTGGAATGAGATACCACAGGAGGACATTGACCACCTGATCAGAAGCATGCCTAGGCGCGTTGGAGAATGCGTAGCACATCATGGTGCATCCACACATTATTAAAGGTCAAAGGGCTTTAAAGCAGTGCAATCATTTTGAAATTTTTACCATTTACTTATTATGCTTCATTAAGTACTTATACAAAATTTTATTAAAATAAAACCATTTAAACTGGGTGTTAGGATTTATATGTCACTTAGTATAATTAATTTCAGTTCTGCTCAGCTGCAAGAGATTTATGCCCTAATTTTTACTCATGTTAATGGTTAATAACTGGGTTAGATGATTACTCAATCTTTCAATAATTATTATTTCATTCAAAACATACCTATTGAGAATTAGCGTATTCCTTATGCAATTGATGATGATATTCTGGTATTATAATATATTTAGCTACGTTGAATTTAATTTGTAAATCTTGAAGAGACATGGTTGGTGTGAGGTTGTTGAAATAACTTGTTTTACAGGTGTATTTTCGAGTACAGAATCAAACTCAGAATCGGACATTAAATATTGCAAATAGTCACTTTTAGACGCTAAATAAATTCACTTATAGATAATGTTTATATCTAAATCTAAATCAGTAGAAGGATGGTATGGGAAAAAGTGAAAATTGGCGAAAAAATTCCAAAAATTGAAAAATCATTGGGTACTTTTTAAAAACCGACTTTATTCACCAGAAGACGAATGATTACTGGTCACATTATCTTACAAGTACCTTCTATTTACAACCTAAGCTGGAACAAAGTGCAAGCCTAAGCATTACTATTATTGATATACTGTTTCGATCACTACTGTAAGGTATTTTATACTTTTCAGATCTACTTCGGCATTTGGGTAACTGTATGCGTAACCGCATCCTGGGTGGGAGCCACACACTGTATCAAGTACCTGTACCTAGGCCGACCAAGAGAACCGGAAACTGATGCTGACCCTATGCTTCTGCCTGCTGGTATCAACGAAGTCAACATGACAGCCATACAGCCTGTGCATGTATATGTAAGATTATACCTTTCCTCAAATTCGTATGATTTTTTCAAACCAATGTATATCGCATATCAAAAAGGTCTTGGCACAAACTAATGTCAAACAAGAATCCTGAGAACAATTATACTCTATAAATAATATAGACAAAGCAACGGGACTGTTCATAGAGAAAATAAAAAAACTAATAGATATTAGTACCAATAAAGTAATAATTAGTCACAAAGAGAAAAGCAGAAATGTCTGGATTACCAAAGGATTAATAACATCGGCAATAGAAAAAGAAAGACTATATAATGTAATGAAACTAACGCCAACTACAGAGAATACCGACTGCTACAACCAACATAAAAATAAATTTATAGAGCTTGCAAGGCAAACCAAACGAAAACATTACCTAAATAAATTGAATAATAACTTAAATGATCCTAAGCGGCTTTGGACAACTATTGATGAGATTACTGGGAAAACAAAATTTAAAGAGTGTGCCACTGAGTTAAATACAACATCGGGAACAGTATTAAAAAATACTCAACAGATATGCGATGAATTTGTACAATTCTTTACTGACATAGGCGAAAATTTAGCAAGTAATATACAAGCAAATGTTCAAAATACTCAGCCTCCAAAAAGAACTTTGAACTCATTTATTTTGGATAAAGTCGAGCAATGTGAAGTATACACCACTGTTATGTCCTTAAAAAATCGGAAAAGTCCTGGGTTCGATGGTATTAAAAGCGATCATTTGAAAATTATAGCCGAGGACATAACAGAACCACTCACTTACCTAATCAACAAATGCTTTGAATCTGGCATATATCCCTCAATTTTAAAAAAAGGTAGTATAATACCGATACATAAATCAGGAACAAAAACAGATGTTAACAACTATAGACCAATATCAATAATATCCAGTGTAGCCAAGGTTTTTGAAAAAGTTTTATCTGCTAGAATGATTCGATACCTCACAAAATTCAAAATTTTAAGTGAAAATCAATATGGATTTACAGAAGGGAAGGCTACATCGGACGCAATAACAAAATTGTAAATCAAATACATCAAAATATTGATAACAGAATCCCTTCAATCTGCGTTTTTGTTGATTTAAAGAAAGCTTTCGACACAGTTAATCACAAATTATTATTAGAAGCATTGGAGAGAATTGGTTTCAGAGGAAACGCGTACTCACTGATCGCAAATTATTTGTCAAATCGCCCACAATCTGTGCAGATATCAGGATCATTTAGTAAAGAAATGTATATTAAGTGTGGTGTCCCACAAGGAACTGTCTTAGGTCCGCTGTTATTCAATATATATTTAAATGATATTTTCCAAATTAATTGTGTTGGCAAAATAACTAGTTTTGCAGATGATACTGCAATATTATATGAAGGCACTGACTGGTCTGATCTGAAAAATGTAATTGAAAATGTTTTTATCAAAATTATTCGGTGGTTTAACAGTAGAAAATTAAGCATTAACTACTCTAAAACACATTTTTTACCATTTGGATCTTATGCTAGACATCTGCCCAATTACACAAATTTCTCCTTCAACATTAATGATCAAAAAATGCAAATTAATAGAGTGCCCAACATAAAATACCTTGGAGTAGTCTTGGATCCTCACTTACGATGGGACATCCATGTCAATTATATTTTAAAGAAAGTTAGATTTGTATCCTACAAAATTAAATACCTTGGGAATATATTGACAGAAAAATATCTACGAACATTATACCATGCACTGATTGAGCCTCATCTCACATATGGTATATTAGCATGGGGAGCTTCATGTTCCTCACATATCTATAATTTAGAGGTTTTTCAAAGAAGTATTCTAAAAATGATATTTAAAAAACCGAAACTTTATCCCACTGAAAAATTATACGCAGATGTTCGAATGTATGATATAAGACAGCTTTATTTCTTACACAGTATCACTCACTACCATAAATTTGTAAACACCGACCAAAAAATTAAACATAATCATTATACCAGGTACAAAATTCGTGGCACAGTAGTTCCTCAACCGCGTAAATCTATAATGCAGCGATCATATCTCTATTTAGCGCCTAAATTTTATGAAATTATACCTAAAGACTTAAAAGATTTACGTTTCGGAAATTGTTTCAAAAGGAATTTAAAAAAGTGGCTACATTCTATATCTAGGACTGAAATTCATAAACTCATAAATACGAACATCAACTAAATACATAATCTACTGTTGCTAATTTTTGTCCTTTTTTGTCATTTGCATTCTACAGTTTCAACTTAAATTATTGGTCCATGTACAGGCGATGCCTTCTATTGGGCTTGTTTTGATTTTATATTTATTTACTCATATTGTTTGTTATCTTTGCACATTGTTCAGCGTGAAACAGTAAACAAGCGATTTTTAAATATGTGTATATCTCAAAACCTTCACTAGAAAGCGTTCACGATGAAGTTTTTTAAAATTACTCCAAATGAGCATCACTCTAGTTCAGCAGCGGCAAGCCACATGCAAAGCTCTGTGTCAAAGATATGGAGTTTGATTAAAGGATCAAGGTTGGAGACATAGTGTTTTAGAAAGTATATAGCGAGGCGACAATAGATCCACTTGGGTAGCACGCCAACCCCTTTCTTCTGTAATCTGTAAGGTTTACGAAAAGATTGGCTTTTACAAAGTTGAAACAAAACATTTTTAAAAAGATAACAAGAATACCACAGCAAATGTTGTAGGATAAATTTGTATTTCTGTAGGAGAGCCAATAATTTATTACATTTATTTCAAATTGCCTTATTCTTTGTCCCACCCTTCTGTTCTATGATAATGTTGCACTTTGAAGAAGGCTAGCAAAGAAAATAGAAAAGAACGCTTCAATAACGTTGTGCACAAACAGGTAAGAAATCTAACGATATTCACCTACAAATGGTTTGAGAAAGCTGATTGGATCCTCAACCCTTACGTTGTAATTGACAGGAAGACCCGTAAGTCTTCTGGCTTACAACTGCTCTACGCCTGAACTATGTACAGATGGATGTCGTCCTGACTATCGATGAAACAGTCGACCGGTCATGGAGCTGGAAAACAAAGTACAGCAGACGCTCGATAACGTAAACACGGGATAATGAAAACTTGCGCTAATGTAAACACAAACTTCGTTCTATAAGATCAAACGGAACGCGCGATAACGTAAACAATGTGTACGCTCGATAACGTAAACAACTCTCGGCGCACGGAAACAGCGCGACGGTAAAATGCGATGATTTATGTCGGGCGTCGGGGAGTCCCCGATTTATGATGTAGAATGTAGGAGATTCACCTCTGGGATAAAATACGACAAACTCGGTCAGTCGTATGATCGTTTAGGATACGTTATACGTACGTATGCATTTCATCTTTGAACTTAAGTGAATACATTGCACGCGTTAATATATTTTACGACTATGGCATCCACATCCTATAAAAGAAAGTGTTTAAAGTTGAGTGAGAAAGTGAAAATCATAGACGAAGTTGCACTAGGTGCGGGAGTGACACAGTTAGTAAAAAAATATGAAGTATCGAAAGCGACAATCTGTAAAATTAAGCGTATGTAAACTCAAATTTTACAAAGAACTTACAATACATTTGGAGGTGCGGGAAAAAGAAAAACTTTAAAAAATACGAAGGCACCTAAAATGGAAAATTCCCTGTATAAGTGGTTTTTAAAACAACGGGAAAATCATGTCCCAGTTAGTGGCGAAGTACTTAAACCGAGAGCGAGACTGTTTAATGAAAAACTGAAAGAAACTGAAAATTTCGTAGCTAGTGATGGCTGGCTACTACGATTCAAAACAAGATATGGAATTCGACTGCTGTCTATATCTGGTGAAAAATTATCAACACAACCACAATTAGTGCAAGCATTCAAAGAAAAATTGATGAAAACAATTACCGAGCTAGATTTAAGAATGGAACAAGTTTACAACGCAGATGAAAGTGGCCTTTATTGGAAAATGTTACCAGAGAAAACCTATGCTGCATCATTTGAAAAATCTGCCCCGGGAAGAAAGCCGAAGAAACAACGAATAATGTTTCTAGCCTGCACTAATGCTAATGGTTCACACAAAATAAAGCCACTGGTAATTGGGAGAGCAAAAAATCCGCGCTCATTTAAAAATGTTAATATCCCTGTTGATTATGACTGTTCAAAAACCGCTTGGATGACTAGCAGTATATTCCTGAAATGGTTCCACAGGTGCTTTGTCCCTCAGGTATGAAAATCAATTATCACAAATGCTCTATTCATAATTTGAAGATGTGTTTTCAATTTGTATGTAAAAGGTTTCCTAAAACAACAGAAGCTTCCAATAAAAGCGTTGTTACTTATTACATGACTCTAGACACCTATGGTCCACTGTCAATGATATATTCAATAAGTCATCCTATTCAAAAAACAATATTAATGAAATAAAAACAAAAACAGGACAGAAAACAGACAATATTCAGCAAATATGTGATGAGTTCATAGAATTTTTCACGAATATAGGAGGAAACTTAGCAAATAATATCAAACAAAATGTTGATATTCATCTGCATGAAACAAGACTAAATAATTCATTTGTATTAACTGAAGTAGACTATCAGGATGTTTTCAATGCCATTATGACTCTAAAAAATAAAAAAAGCCCTGGAGTTGACGAAATTAGAGCTGAACATCTAAAGATACTGGCCAAACAAATAACAGAACCACTTGCTTACGTATATATCATTAACAAATCCTTCCAATCTGGAGTATTTCCATCAGCTTTCAAGACAGCAATCATCATACCTATCTATAAATCTAATGATAATACGGACGTCACTAACTATCGACCTATTTCACTTATATCAAGTTTAGCTAAAGTTTTTGAGAAATTACTCCTTAATAAAATGATTAATTTTCTTAATAAATTCAAAATTCTAAATTCAAATCATAGCGGGCAAATCTACAACAGATGGGGTATTAAGTATAGTAGATGAAATAACCCAAAATATAGATGGAAAGGTAC